TTTGTATATAATGTATTACATTTACTACGTATAATTAATAAAGCCTTGAGGAAGACCTCACTTAGCATTTAAAAAAAGATCAATAAGATTATATATATAATTTTAGACTTGTATTTATATTTTATTTATTTATATTTAAAAAATATTTATATAAAAAAGGTTTTTTTTCTTTGAAAAATAATAGGGTTATCTGATTTCTCTTATATTTAATAAAGTTTTTCTTTATTAATTATAAACAATATCTTATTTGTAACTTTTTTAATATAAAATATTATATTTTAAATGAATTATAAAAAAAAATACATATAATAATAAAATTTTTTAATTATTTTAATATATAAATTTATTAAATAAAGATTTATAAGATTATAAAAAAAACACATAACAAAGCATTTTTTTAATTAAATAATGATTTATAAAATTATAAAAAAATTTCTTTTGGTTTTTTTATTTATTAAATAAAAATTCAATAAATTTATTTACATATAATAAAAAATATTTTATAATTTGTTTAAAAGCTATTTTTTTTTGATTTTATAATTAAATTTTTTTTAATATTAAGACATTTCTTATAATCTTTACTGATAAAGTAAAGGATTATTATATAATTAATATTAAGATGTAAAATACATTGCTATATATTTTAGCTAATCATTCAATTAGATATATTTCTAAACTAATCAAGTTTTTCAAAATATTAATAGAGTACCATAAATATATTATGTTGACTTTATTAATTGTATAATATTGTTAAATAAGCCATATATATATATATATTTATTTTAACACTATAATATTAAATAGCAAATATCAAATCAAATATAATCTAACTTTAAAATATGGAATAACAAATGTCATTGTGATATGAATAACTTATGAAATTTGTAAAAAAAAATTTGAAGATAAAATAGGAAATATTGAAAACATTTGAAATGATAAATTATTTATTTAAAATAATAATGTAATATTTGACATGATCAAATACTGTATCTAATAATCCAATGGAATTTACGTAATCTATAAAAATATAGGTACTATATATACAGTATACAAGAAGATAATTAGTCCAATAAAAGGTTCTTTTAAATTATTCTTTATTGTGTCGCTTATTCCATCTCATCTACTACTGCAGTATATTAACTTGTCCAAATATATCTTACATCTCCCGTATATTACATGTGATCAGTGATCTATGCAAAATCACATTTATTCCATGAAGATTGGATTACAATGACAATGAGTAAGGTTTATGCAATGGATAATTTTGTATATTTTTGTGAAACGATTAGAATATCTGATGAATTGTTTCTCTTAAAAAGTGACCTTTTTTTAATCACCCCAGACAAAAAAAAACAATTATAGGCCAAATATAAACATTAATTTGGAAGAATTAAGCACCTTTATTAACTAAAAATCTTGAAGTTAATCGATCAATTATATTTGGAATCTCAAAAGTAGCAAATGTTCTGTAACCTTCTAAACTACACAGAAAGGTTGATGAGAATGATCTAGCAATAATCAATGTGATCTTGAATCTCTATTAGGAACGGGTGTTCATTGTAGTGCTTTTCTGTTTACCTCAAACAATTGCACATTGAGAAAGTTTTGCATAATTGTTTATCAAAGGTGATCGTATACTGTTTTTATCAATTCTGTCTTCAGTTGAACGCGTGATGTTCCGAAAGAAGGTATTTGGCTATCCTGTGTATATCAATCATATACTATATATATATGCAGTACATATTATACTGTACTCATACGGACGTTAACCACGCGTTAAATAAGTCGTTCGACACTTCATAAATTGCAAATCAGAATTTTCGCAAATGCCTGCAACACCAAACGGAAGGAGTACCTTTATAAAACCCACTCCATCGTCTACCAAAGTTCCTGTGGTCACAAAGAAAGCAATTTCTAATGATTATTCGCATCATGTAGAAGATTTGATTAGGAGTCCCCTTAAAAAAAGAACGCCAGTTAAAATGGTCCCAGCTCTCACTTATATGACCTATATGAGCATGACTTTCAAGAATTTTATATCCACACTGATTTTTGATTGGTCTATGGCATTCACTCACCCTCTACACTTCCTAGCATTGATTACATTGGTTCCATTGTTATCTTTTGCATTACTCATGATAGGAATAACATTTCACATTGGATTTGCGCTTGGAATGGGAAGCATTATTGAGGCAGTTGGACGTAAATGGGGAGCAAATTTAACAATGATTAATTGGTGTAAGCATTCTGTTCTTAATAAGTTACAATTATAATTAAACGTAGATTTCTTTCGGTTTAATCTGCATACTGTATTTCCATCACAGGGGATCCAAGTATATTTACATTAGATGTGACCGGAATAGTAAAAGATGGAATTTCTGCCTTAGGACGACCGCCGCAAGAGCCTGCTGACGGTTCTGACAATGTTGTTTTTAATATTGACATAGCAGAACTTTTATTGTTCATGTCCTCTATAATTTACGAACGGGACGAAAAGATTGTGCGTGAAACTTACGAAATGATTGATGATATGGTGGCTGATGATACAAACGCAGAAGTTCTTGAATCAGCCATGAACCAACTTAAAAATTCGGTATCTAGAATCCATGATCAAGCAAATCTTTGGGGATTGGAGTTTGTTTCCTTGTCTGAACTGAATAGTTTGGGTGGTCCTTTTTCCGGTATATTTTATAGTAAGGTAAGGTAATTACTGTAGATAATCAATTTAGATGCAGCATACTTTATACAGTACGTACGTGATTTAATGATACTTTTTTGTAGGAGCATAATTTTATAGTAGTGGTGTTCAAGGGAACAACCCCTATAGATTTTAAAGATTTCGTGATAGATTTAATGTTACAACGTATTGATGCTAGTAATTTTGTATTTGGCGAAATTCATTGCGGAATGTACACGAGCCTCTTCTCTCAAACGCAGAGTCGAAGTGCAAAAATGGACCGCACAAGTCCTTATATTACTATAGTCGAAGCCATTCGAAGTAAGGCCGTTGAAATTGTAAATTCTAACGCAAAGAATACGCCAGTTAATGTTTGGGTCACGGGCCATTCTCTTGGTGCTGCCTTAGCTTCAATCTTCTTTTCAAGTAATACTTTTTAAGCATTTACTATGTTCTAATCAATTAAAAATTAAGAATTTTTAGTTACAATTATTTATTTGACACAGGATGTCTGAAATCTCCTGAAGACTTGGGACCTAATTGCATCCTGAGAGATGGTTACTTGTATGGTTGCCCAGCAGTAGGAAACAGTTCCTTTGCGTCTTTATTTTCGAGCTATTCTAACCAACCATTCGATCGGTCTAGCACACTCTGGAGAGTTGTAAATGACACAGATATTGTTGCTCACTTGTCAGGATTTGAAGACATCACTATGAGTCAAGTACTTGCTAATCATAGTATCCTTGATTACACTCATGTTGGCGAGGAAATTCGTTTCTTCAGAAGTGGTGCAAGACCAAGATGCACGAAGGATGTATTACCTCCGATCAACGAACATGTTCTTGTGAAAAATAATGAATTCGGTTTTTTTAAGTTTGGTAAAGCGGTTGTAGAAAATCTGTTTTACGGTAATCCATTGAAAAAATTAGGGGAATTATTTTATAGCGAGCCATTTACACAGCCTTCAAAATATGTAACGAGTTTATGGCAAGGAGCAAGTCATAATCCCTTGAAGTATGTGGAAATGATGTTACCCATTTTCTATAGAAATCACATACCAGCAGAGTATTTCAGAGCGATGCAAAATGCCAGAAGATATTTTGTTGAGAATTCAGAAGATGGTTCAATAAGTTAGAGGCGGAACATTTACACCCGGTGCTTATCTTATATTAAAATTTTTTTGGTGTTTATTTTCAGTTTCTTGCTAGATTATGTTTATTGTATTTTTGTTTTGGAATCTTAATTAAACGCACGAAATACAGTAAAGAAATTTCCATTCTATTGTCAATGCGTTCGTTCGTTATATTATCGAAGATAAATTGATATAACCTATAAAAAGGAAATACTTTACGATATTATACGTTGTTCTGAAAAAGAAATTAAAAGATTGATCGTGAAAACAGGATATTGTTGTGGGAACAATAGGGACGGAACGCGACATTAAAGCGCGTCGCGTAACAATAGCAAGAATGATGATAGAATGATGTCATAGTTGGTAATGGCATGTAATGGGATGGACGCGTCAATAGGGCATATAAATAAGATAGTTTTTCATAGTTTATGAGAAGGGAGTTTGAGTCAGTTCAAGTCATAGTCATAGTCATAAGAGACACGATTAGAGTCAGAGTTTAGTTTTGGAACACCCCTATTTTTCTCGCGCTTTATTAAAAAAATGCTATTCTCTTCGTACAATAACATTTACACTCCCTAAAGTATAAACTAAGTGTAATCCGCCTCAGAGATTAAGGCCATGCCTTACTTAGACTATCGTCACGCGAAGAGTGGGCCGTTTTAGCGACAGACTCGCCAGTGATGACAATAATATCAATCAAAAATATACAGTATATTTTATTTACGTTATTTACAGTATTTCTGTATTAGAATTCCAAATGAAATTCTTTATTACTACATGTATATGATAAAGATTTTTTAAAAACTACAAAGATTTAATTAATAATTATAATAACAAGTAATTTTTATAGTTAAATATTAAATATGATAATAACTTATGCAATCAAATAAACCACAGATGTCCTTTTTAAAATATCTTTGTTGATTTATTTATTATTTGAATAAATAATATAATTTTTTTTTTAATTTTAATATAAATTTTTTTATTCCAAATAATTATTATTAAGTTATTTATATAAAAATATATTTATTATATTTATTTAAAAATATTTTTAATATATTTATTAATGATATACAGTATTTACTTATTTTGGTACAACTAATATTTAAATAAAAAATATAATATAAATTTTTATTTAAATAGGATTTTTTTTAAAAATTATTTGTATCAAAAAAAATTTATACTGCATATTTTTTTTTTAGTTTTAATTAATATTGGTTCATGAAATTATTATATAATTATTATTTAATATAATTATTTATAATATTGTTATTAAAAATAATTATTACAGTTTTTTAAATAATCAATAGTTTAACATTGAACTATAAACTATTAAAAAAAAATAATATCAAAGTTTTATAAATTTATACATTATTATTTTATATGTTGAAATTAAAATTAATATAAATTGTTGTTTTTTTATAATCCATAAAAATTTAATTTTTCTAAAATTCATTTTTTAATCATATTGTCTACTTTATATAAATTTATTAAAATAAATAAATTTACAATTATTATTTTATTTATAAACTCGTAGGTTTTTAAAAAACGATTTTTTATTTTTATTAAATTGTTATGATTTTTATATAAATTTTTTTTTAATTTGATACTGTATTTTTTTATTAACATTAATATAGTAAACTTTTAAAAAAATTATATATTGTTTCATTTGTTTTTATTTTTGATGTTTAAATAAATTATTTTATATAATATTACTTGCAATAGACGAATAATTTAACTTGATATTTTAATTTAATTTAATTTAATTAAAATAAGGAAAAATAATATTGTGCGTTCTAAATATATTTTTTTTAATTAAAGATGCTTATTCATATTTCACCGATTTTTCATTTGGTTGGTTTCAAGTTATCTTTACATACCATTTAAACCGATCAAGATGTAGTCTAAAATAAATCATTTCGCTATTAGAATAACAATTAACTATTTTTCTTGTACTTATGGAATTTCATAATCGCAAGATATTAGATAATACGTACATGATATAGATTATTAAATTTTTGTTTTGCCTAGCAAACAAGCTGATCATTAATATCGCAATATAATGATCAGGCACCCACATTATATTATGCCTCAGACAGTATACTATATCAGAGCGTCTTGTGTTCTCATGGATTAATCTTTATATTTGATGCGTAAAGTTAATCTATTTCACGATCAACAATATTGTGCGCATCAAGTTAACCTTCATATATCTGCATAAAAGTTTAAATGCATAGCACGTGTGGCATAGAAAGAGGCTTTTATGTCGCACAACAATAAAATTATGGGTGAAATAATTTCGTACTTTCATACACAATTTTTTTTTGTTGAAATTCCTCTAATTATACAATTATCAGAAAATATTTATTAAAAATAACAACAACAGCACGGATTGATCAAGAAAACCTATTATTTTCTTTTGAAATGATGGATGCAAGCATCAAATTAGATATCGAACAAAATAAAAGTAACATCTCAGTTAGTGAAGCCGTTGACCAGCCAGCAATTTTTTTAATCGGGCTTCAAGGTCCTTTTATTATTTCCACGGATACGACTCTTGTTTGAAATTTATTAATGACGTCTTAAACAATCACCATTCGCGAGAATGCCTAACAGTTGTTTTGATTTATTACAAATTTAGGTGCCGGCAAAAGTATGGTGGGAAACATGTTATTAGGTGGATACACTACTAACCCTGAGGCAATAAGATTCGAGGTTCACGATGAAAATCACGAGGAAGATGTATGGATTTGAGTTTTGTTATTTGTAGTTTAGTTTTTTCAAACATTTTGTTGTATTTTATACATTTATTATTTAACATGTTCAGGAGCGCAAATCAATAGGTATCAGAACTGCAGAGGTTGAGATACATGATCGTAAATACACATTGGTTGACACTCCTGGTATAATTGCAACCGAAACTTATTCAAGAAGGAGTTGGGATGAGATTATCAAGGCCAATACTAAGGCTATGGAAAAATATGGCGTCCAAGCATACATTCTGATTTTTGGTTAGAATCCACTCATAATACAGTATTCTTTTTTTTCACGTTAAACTTCGGACTTTTAGTAAATGACATGCTTGCAAATGATTAAATTAGCTAGTACACGTCTAACGGCGGCCGACAAAATGCATATCGAAGAAGTCATAAAAATCCTCCGAGCTGATAGGCTAATTATAGTGTTCACAAAACGCCGCAAGGACATTACCATTGATCGAGAAAAGATGGAATCTACCTTTAACGAGGACCTTCGATCTATCCTTAAATCAATTAACAACCGTTGGGTGGTTGCACCTGATTTGGATATTTTTGGAACTAGCGAAGAGGGTAAGAAGGTAATTGAAAAAAATATGGATGAATTGAAACGAATAATTAGTGAAATTAAGGCACCGAGCAGAAAGTTTATTGGGTTCAAGGAGTTGTTTACAAGAAATCTTAAAGAAATAGTTGTAATTACGTCGTTGGTTATTGCGACTTTAATTGTGGTTCTTCTTTACGTCAAGTAATATTATGATCGTATTCATTGTCTTACGGTACTATTATCGATCTTTCAGGTTACAGTACAGTATTGTATACTGTAGTACACAGCGTATTAAATAATTAAAAAGTAACTATTTAATTTCTTTCATTGCAAATTATCGATCAACCTATACAACGGTATCAAAACCTTCTTTTGTTCATAGCAATACGTGAATGCGAAGTTAATGCTAAACCTCAAGGAATATTATGATAAATTTAGGCGCTACGGTAGTATCCTGTTTACAAAACTTGAAATTATATTTCCATATTAAACTCGCGTTCTTATATCCTACATAAATTGCAACACTCTTCGCATTGATATAGTGTGATGCGTAATAGTTATGTGACCAAAAGATGAAAACTATTAAGAAAGCTTTTTAAAGGTTTCAATATTTCTATAATTAACTCTATTGTACATCTTGTATAAAAATTCAGTGTATGGGTTAAACTCTTTTCCCTCGTTATTCAACCTTTTAAAATAGCTTGCTATTCGAAGTGGTGCCAGGACAGCATGGTTTATTTCTTGGTAAGGCGGGGAAAGTGCATAGCATGAACATAATACGTTATTCACGAGGATCGTTCCCGCGCGCGTAAAAACTGCGATAAAGCCATCGTGATATACCTATCAAATAAAATTATTGTATTCACTAATGAAAGTGAGTGAGTGATAATAATAGTCATAATTATGATATTTACGGTTCTGACATTCGTGACATTTGCCGGCACCATACGATTATTGTGTAAAACATTAACCTTTGAAATTTTGGGAATTATATTTTTTGCATAGTCCAAGACACCGTTAAAAAATATATGATGATCCGGGGTAAGACAAATGGATCCTGAAGCTTAATGAACATTTAGAGTATAGTAAATAATGTAAACAAAATAAGACAAAAAGCAAAGACATTAAGTTTCTACACACCCTCACACCCATTTTCCAATGAGAATTCAATCTCCAGGAACTTCAATGTTGTAATGCGCTATTAGATAAACTTCCGAGAATTCCAATTTATCCTTTTTTACGCCTACGCAGACTCGGTCACCAATAGTAACATTCATCATTTTTACAATATTTCCATTTTCAAGTATAACCTTAGTGCTGATACCAAAGCATGCATCCCCTGCCTCTTTTTTTGATTGTTCTGCTTTATCTTCGGCATTTCGAACTCGATTGAACTTTTCGGTTGTGTATGCGGATGGAAATTCATCTATTAGTCTTCGAGCTATGTTCATATTTTTTATTACCGCACCATCATTTAATGTGAATATGTCAGGGTTAGGCGAAATAAATTTGCGATACCCAACTGTGGTCAAAAGATCTTTCATATTTTTGCGAAGAATTAAGGTTCCCTCGTTTTCTGTTTGTCTCTTTGTACAAAATGTAAATGCTACGATCATATGTTTGAGACTCTCTTCCCCCAAAAAAGCTCTGACCACCCTGAGAGTGTTATCAAAAGATTGAAGATCGTGTCTGTCTTTTGTACGAAGATTTCATAAGTTTTAGAAATTTAATACTGTAACAGTTAATTAAAATAGTAAATTTCTTGTCTTACCAATGACTAAAATAATAGCCTGGACTCCGTATGAACATTCTCTAATAATGCTAGCAACTTTTTTAATGGAATTTTTGCTTCTGAAATTTTCGCTGTGATCGAAAAGCCCGGGAGTATCGATGAGATTCAACCATCTTGTCTCAATTTTTAGAATATGGGAGACACATTCTTCATTATTTTTCATCTAATTAAATAATATATTATACTTCAATAAAAACATTCCAATAAACAAATTTAATGAACTGAACAATCCTCAAGGCTTACCTGATTACTATCAGTTTCGAAAATACCGCTATTTCCTTCGTAACCTAATAGCCAATTGCACAACGTGCTTTTTCCTACCCCTGAAAATCATAAAGTAAATTGACCTGTCGTTAAATACAAATATTTTTCAAAGTTCAATTCGACCTACCACACCTTCCTATTACAAGAATGGCTGGATAATTAATCGTGGGTTCTGTAGAAGACTCGACTCTTGAGGTGATTGGGATGACTTCCATATTTAGAAATAAAATTTTGGATAGAAGTATGAGATATTACTACAGTACGAGTGTTTATATCTAATTTTCATCAATGATTTATACTCGTGTACAATTAAAGTATCAGAAATGGAGTATGGCGTTAATACTAGTTAATTTAATTTAATTCTCAGAAAGGCTGTTTCATTTAACCAATTGATAAGTGCATTTGATGCGCGCCGTTTAACGAAAAATGTTATCACAGATTGAAATGACGCCATTAGCTTATTTTGTTCAAAAGAAATTGAATCCGTAACTCGGTTAGATGATAGAATTTGTTAAATTTATTAAATATGCTTTTCGTTACTCTCTCCGTTAACATATCGTTGTATAATTACGCTTACTATACATACAGTAATTTAATGTAAAAATAAATTGATGATTGATGATTGAACGAATAAATTCAAAAAAACATTCCGTGTTTTTAAGTTTACATACATAAATATATAAATACACAAGTACTGTATATTTTATAATATTTATTTATTTATTTAAAACACATACTTTTGCATAAACATATTTGTATGTTCAAATATCTGATTTAAATATTTTTTTAAATGTAATATTAAACAAATCCATCAACTGTAAATCATTAGCTTTTTGAAATGTTTTACCTTATCAAAAAAAAAATTATTTTAGCCATTTGTTATTGAAATTTCTTAAGCAAAAATTATAACTTTTCATTATAAAATTTTATTATCATTATTATTATATTATGAAAATTTGTCATCAATTAAATATTATATAATAAGATTAAAAAATGATTTACTTTCATAATAATTACTTTTTCATTTTTTCATTTTATTTTATTTTCTATTTTCTTTTATTTTCTTGTAATATTTATTTAACCAATCAAAAATTATACAGCATTGTCACAGGTCAGGGGTTTATCAGCAGTAACAGTGAAAACCTAGACTTTGTAACACTTCAACAGAGATATTTATTATAACAGAGGAAGGCTTAAAGGCAAAAGGAGGCATAGATTTGATGAGTTTGTATAATTTGGGGAATTTTATTGATCAAAACAATGTGATAAGTAAGAATGGATCCCTAAACTATTTAGCATATAAAATTTCACAGATCAATTATGTTTCTTTTGAAAGGACATAATTATTTATTCATTACTTTAATAGGAACATAATTCAAAAAACACTTGGATCAAGTAGCCTAAATTGCAAAAAACCTTTGTAGGTAGTTTTTTTTGATCTTATATTTAAAAAAAAACTTTTCTAATAGTAAGAAACATTTGAATTATGTCCTCGCCTTTAATTTAGGAACCTATCTTTAGTGATAAGTATATAAATTTTTAACTAGTAAACATTTTTTTATTAATTAATTTTTCCACTCTTCCTTCTACTATATTTCCTTACATCATTTTTATACTTTTCTTACAGCAAAAGAAATAACAGAAATAAAATAAATAAATGAAATATCAAAAAAATATATATTAATCTATTTTGTAATCTTTTTATTTATTAATAATTTTATATTAATAATCCTATATTAATATTGATAATTTCTTTTGCTAAACAGTTTTTTTTCTTTCTATTTCATTATTATTTCATAAATTTAATTAGATTCCATTTTTTTTACTCATTTGTTTTTATCAACATGTTTCAAGATTTATGACATATAGTTTTTTAAAAGAGTTTACTTATATTCCAACTTTTTTTAAAAAAAGTTTTTTACAAGTTATTAAATAATTTATTGTCATTTTATATTTGTAACAGAATATATATTTAGTATATATTGATATTTCTTGAACATTACATTTGACTAAATTGTTTATAGTTAATAGTTTACTATGTATAAGCTTGGTTTTAAATGTTCTGTTTCTAATTTTTTCATTTGTTTGAAAAAGCAATCAATAATTCTTTATTATTATTATTAAGCCAAAAACTCCAATTAATTTTGTTATATTTTTTTATCTTTTTTTATCTCTGCTAAATTTTATTAAAAGATATTTATTATATTATAATTTTTCTTTTGTTATAATCTTTAATAAATGTTTTGATTAAGATATTGATTGAAATATTGTTTTATTCTGATATTGTAATTAGGATTATAAACAATAGTACTTTTTATTTAATCTTTGACTTTTCTTTTACTAATTAATCTAATTGTTTGCTATATCTTTGATATAAATTTGACCTTAATAAGTTCCAATAAAACTCTTTTTCTAGAAATTATATTAACCAAAACTACAAATTTGATATTTTTATTTGTCCTTTAATATTTTTTTGAAATGTAGTTATTAAAAATCTTGATAAAACATTTGTATATTGTTTCAAGTAGAATTATTAATATGATATTATTGAGTTTTTCTTGCTATTTTTTCTCTTTAATAATAGAATACAAAAATTATTTTTTTATAATATTGATATATATTATTGCTTAAGAAATAGATTAAAGAAATCAAGTATAATCTTTTTTATTTAAAGTTCCAATTTTTTAAAATTTTATATTCGATATTAAAAAGGTTTGCTATTTTGTTTTTAAAAAGATTTTAAATTTTTTATTTAAATTGAAAAATTTCTTTTTCCTGCAGTATTATAATAACAGTTTACTAATTAATTAATGTTTGTTTGAACTATTAGAATTTGAAACTATCTATAGTGAAAATGCTGTAGGGCTTGTAAAAGACAATGTGCAAAAGCTAGCAAAATATGTTTCTAGTGAACAGCCATTGCACCTAGACAGAATATTGTTTTTTTTTTTATTGCAAACAAATATTAAATGCAAGACTTTATTTAAATAAAAATATTTACTGTCATTACATTAACAATTTTTACATAGTAAATTAATTGTAGCCTATCGCAACAAAATTATTGAGACCAGGTATCACTACAGGAGTAAACTTGTAACAATAGTACTGAATGGCTAATGCCTGTTCAGAATAATGATATTACTGTTGGAATGAAAATTGACTTGTCAGTAAAGTTGTATAAAGCATTAAGTAAGTCTAGAATTGTGTTAAATGTTGTATTGTCATTTGGATCTAAGCTTGGTGACTTTGTAAGTAGAGTTTTTTCCATTTTATGCCTGA